AAAGTTTAGGGGGGGTTCAACGATCCCCAAGATGTTTCAGAGACGAAAAGGATGCTTTGACTTTGGCATGTCAGTGTTGGAAATCAATTTGTTACGCTTGTATACACAAAGCTTCTTCCCAGCTCTAGCTTGTAGTTCAGATCTTAGCTATTCACCGACTATATAGGTGGTCTGTTATGTTAGGCAAAAGCATTGATCATTTTGTGAATACACAACTTTCTTTTTCGTGTCCGCGTGATTGAAATAATTATAACACAATATCAATTTAGTTAAAACCATGCAATAAAAATGGAATTAAAATGTGTAAAAAATTATGTCTAGTAGAAATTTGTTTTTTCATTGGTGCTTGGTATTGCCCTCCTTACCTCTGGTGCCCTAAGCACGTGCTTAATGGTTAATCCGGCCTTGTGCAATGTGAAGTAACAACAAGAAAACATAAATAAAAGTGGAAAAAACTGAAAAAAACCGTAGTGGTCTAAAAGTAAAATTAAAAAAAACTAGGAAAACCACAGTAGCCGAGAAAGGCAAATCAGGGCAAAAAGCATTTCCACGTTTTACGGAGAGATGGTTTGAAAACTATTATCAGAGAACATGGAGAGAACTAAAATCGTTAACATGAGAATCGGTTTTCATATGAACAAAATAAGATTCCTGGGTATCAAGATGACCTGATGTGACAAGGGTGATTAGAATTTTAGCATTATTGATATAAAATTTATCCCCAAGATGTGAAGCAACAGATTTATCGTATTCATGAAAAAGGACTTCTCTACCGTGAACCTTTAGTTTAAGTGAGTCCTTTAGTCTTCTAAACATTACATGAAGTAACAAGTTAACAAGAAGTAAATGTTAAGCCCGCTAAACATTTACTTCAAACGTTGCCATTCTCAGGGCTTGCTAGACGTTAATGACTCGTGACGTGAATTTTTGAGTGCTTAAAACATGTCAACTTTTATTTACATTTTCTTATTTTTCGAAGATAATGAAGTTTTTATCTCCCCTCTTTAGTTTCATTGGATGATTCATTTAAGTACGCAGTATATTAAATTATAATATTTAATGTGATATTAAAATTAGTTTTATGTAAGATAACGGTTATGGCTTTTAGATTGAAAAAAACATAATAATATATAATTCCTCAAACTTTCTAAAAAATTCAAAGCAGTACATTTTTATTCAATATTTTTATTTTATTTTTATTAATTTAATTTTTGCCTGCAGGTGTGAAAAGCATTTTTTAGGAGATTAGTCTTTTGCTTCAATGCTAAACCATAAGTCTGTGGCGCCATTATTTTTGGCTTGAACAAGTACATCTCATATGGGCTCTTTAGAGCGCCACTAGTGGTCTAAAGGGGCGGTCATTTTTGACCTGTTAGCCCCAAAAAGTAGTGAGTCAAAATGGCTTACCTGTTTTTTGGTAATCCTGAAATACGGATGACATTATTTATCACCTTGCTTTAAATTCATAGGTGCACAATTGTCACACAAACATAAGTAGCAAAGTAATGCTACGCTGGAACATTACAACAACTCCAACTTTACCGTGGCCTGTATAAAGTACGGTTTTTAAAGTAAATTTTAGATGCAAAAAACATTCAGAGTAAGGGACATACGATACTCCGAAAGTAAAATATTCTCTCTCATCTTGCATCTGTCGATGCAGTTGTTGTTAGAAATGCTGTCTGCCGACCACTGCCGAACATTCAAATAGCGAATGCCGATGAAAATTTCAATTCTCCATCGTAGCCGAAAAAAAACAATATTCACAAATTTCTCGGTCCCGCAGTGGACTGATTGTTAAGACGCGGTTCCCAGCAGATCACCGAAGTCAAGCATCACTGGCTGCGGTCAGTGTGCGGGCGGGTGACCACTTGGATCAGTCTGTGTGCGGTGTGGGCTCGTTAAACTGTTCTACCGTAAAGTGCTAGACTTCACGTGCAAGTCGTCGGGCTACCGAAGCGGGGGTGCCATCTTCTCTACAGAGGATCAAAATTATGATGGCATGTTCTCGGATGTCCTCAGGAATGCTTCCCAGAACGTCGCCAATAGCCCATTGTGCAGCTTTAGTGCGACATAAATGAACTACAACAACAAGTTTCTCGTAAGTGCCAGCCAGATTGTCGTGTAGCTAGCGTGCCTGACTGCAAAGCCAATGCCTGCGGGCTCGAATCCCACGAAGGGCATGGGTGTTTCTCTCTGCGTGTTGTTCTCGATTGTGTGATGTGTGAATGGGGCCCACTGTGGCAGTTTGGCGTGGGTAGTGTTGCTCGCCTCCGTGACTTAGGTTCACAGGTGCCCACTGGGTAACATTAAATGAGTAACACTTTCGCCATCTTCCAAGGCGAAGAACGTAAAAGTTCAGTCCCAGTCTCCGCCATTGGAAAAAAAAGTTTCTCGTAAGTTATCTACATTTAAATATTAATCGTCAATTTTAAATATTTCTTTATTGTCGCCAAATTATTATTTTAAAAAAATAATTCATTTTAATTTTCATTGACCTCTACTAAATAAAAATTGTTGAAACTTTAGATTTTGCAGTAGAAAAATATGTAGATTAATATGGTATAAAAAATTTATACCATGCAATTCAAATTTTTTTTTTATCCAGAATTAAATTAAATAATAAAAATAATAAATAATTATTAAAAATTATTTTTTTAAGAAATTATTTTTGCGTAAATGGGTTTAATGAGTGGGTGCAATTCTTTTTGTATTGCTTAATAAATTATAAAAATAGGATTTAAAATGTAAAAAGTGAAATTAACATTAAGATTAAAGGCTGCAAATTTCAGATCTCTCTCCTGACCGAACTATGGGGATCATATTTTCCAGATTGTGGCTATCCCCTATATTACTTTAAAGGTTAAAAACCAAAATGTATGATAAAAAGTATACGTTTAATCAGAGAAAGTGCTGTTTTGTGTCCGATTTTGTAACTTTATTTACATAATTAGCACTACATAATTAGCATATTTAAGGTCACTCCCAGGATCCGTCAAGATAGTACGTGAAAATCCGATCATTGGAACGAAATTTATTCGGGGTGATATCTTTTTTTTTGGCTCAATTTTCATCACATATTGCTTTTATCTTGCATAAAATTTAGCGGCCGCCTGTCTGACAAAACTTGGCAAGATAATAGCCTTGGAGCTCTCCAATTGAGGCTGCTGCCGAGCCGCAGACTTGTAGGGCTAACGTAGTTTAATCGCGGCTGCTAAATTTATTGTATTCACCTATTGGGTATACTATCGCCTACGTCACAGGTTGTGTTATTCCTACTAAATTTAACCAGTGAACGGCATTTTCTGCGAGCCTGGCATCAAGCCACAATTTAAACAAACGGAATGCTCGATCTTTTAAATAGCTGCTCGCCAGATTATATTGTATTAAATAGAAAAGTTCGTTTTGTAATAATTGATTTTGTTGTTTCATCTAAGTTAATGTTTTTAGTAAACATATTTAAAACTCAGTTTATTAATTAAGTTAAAAGTTTTTTTTCTCTTCTGACAACGTGAGACATCAAACCAATTAAACTAGCGGACATCATTCTATAGAATCCATATTTAAAAAAAAAATCAGTGTTTTCAAATCAAATTAAATTAGCGCATGTAAAATATTAAACAACAACCGCTATCCTCCCTTCATTTAGCATTGCACGGTAGTACAGGGTCTTTATAATTAAAGTTCTACTTTGAAATGGCTATAAAAATAAAACTACCCGACCAAATGTCATCAAACTTGGTAAATGTCTATAAGAGGTCATAGGATTTTAGTTCCCGCAACAAAAAAAAAGTTCAAAAAATCACATCCAGCGGAAAATGGCTCTGTATGCAATAGTGTTAAACAAATGTGAAATATACAAATTTGTTTTACACGTCTTTTACCGTAAATTTGCCGTAAACTTTGCGGTGTCATTGGACCTCGGTGTTTTCCTCTTACAGTTGTAAAACCCTCCGTTAATTGCTGTCGCATTCATAGTAACATTTCGCGAGCAAAGCACGGTCTTGCATGGTAACAGACATTGTCAACTCAGAACACTGACAGCTCAGACAAGGCGCCTCACTTTTATAACTGCAAAGTCACATGACGTGTAAAACAAATTTGCATATTTCACATTTGTTTAACACTATTGCACACAGCGCCATTCTCCGCTGGAGGTTAATTTTTGAACTATTTTTTTTTATGTATTTATTTTTTCTGTTTTGTTGCGGGAACTAAAATCCCATGACCTCTCATAGACATTTACCAAGTTTGATGACATTTGGTCGGGTAGTTTTATTTTTATAGCTATTTCAAAGTTGTTGTTGTTAATTTACGTCGCACTAGAGCTGCACTATTGGCGATCGAAATGGGCTGCAGGTGGCGTAGAGCAGAACTCTTTTCCTATGGCAACACTTCACATGCTTTCCCCATTAGCGTGTGGAAAGTCATAGAGGAAGGAAGTACGTTAGTTTCTCTCTTGATTTTCATATAGATTAAAATCTTTTAACTTGAAAAACTATATGGAACTGAAAACTACATTAAGCATAGTTCTAAAGAAAAGTATCACGGAAATTTTTAAAAATATTTTTATTAAGTAAAAAGGAAAAATATTAAAAAAAAGGAAAATATCGTAGTACATTCCTATATAACTGAAAAGAGGAGGAGAGGGAAGGGAGAAGGGCTAAAGGCATGAAACCTGTCTCTCCCCAAATGGCGTATTCGAGTGTTGCGATCGCGAATGGGCTATTGGCGACGGTCTGGGAAGCATCCTGGAGGATGATCCGAAGACATGCCATCACAATTTTGATCCTCCGTGGAGGGGATGGCACCCCCGCTTCGATAAGCTCCCCCGTTTTATAATAAAGTGGAACTTTAATTATAAAGACCCTGTATATGTTATTCCTACTAAAATTTTCGAAGTGGAAGTAGCTGTGTTTTTTTTACATTATACCCGATTGTGCAGCTTTAGTGCAACGTGAATGAAATATAAGCAAAAGTAGGCAGTCGGAAATGTTTAAGCGAAACTTATGATTTCATTGAACATGCTTTTTACTTTTCAAAGTTACATTGCGATGACAGAAGTTTTCGGTAGTGGTATTCTTTAGCGATTTGCGATGTTCCAATTTCGAGTATTAAAATTTGCTTGAATCCAGATAATTTTATAATTTCTTTGTAGAATTTTTATGAATTCTCTATTGGGTATAATACTATTAATCACGTAATAAGTGAAGATGGCAATTTTATCTACAATTTAATTTTAAATTAATATATTCTTATTAATAGTGTTATAAAGTGAAACTATATTCTAATTAGTAGTGTTATAAAGTAAAATTGTAAGCATATTTCTAAAAATATTTTTAAATGTAACTTACATTTTATTTAACGTAACAATTCCTTTTAGTTTTTAATTTGAGAAACGTGTTCCTGAAGTTTTATATTACCAGTTTTTTTTCCCCAAACTGCTGTGGCATATATAATAAGATGTATTTGTAACTAGTTTACTCTTCCACCTATTTGCTGACACACCCCAATCCCCAAAGCAAATTTTTTGTCATTCGTAAGTTTAGAAAAATATAGAAAATTTTAATCTTAAATAGAAAATTTTAAATGACATGCAATAGAAACAAAACAATCATGATTTTGTAAAACTGTTTCAATTAAAGATTCTAAATTTTGTTGAAAGCACAATTATAAATTTCAGAAATTCGAGTTATCACAGTATAAGGATATTATTATTATTAAGAATAAAATTTTATTGAACCTGCATAAGTATACTTAAAACATAACAATGAACAATTTGTTTGTTGATATGAACTATTAACTTTTAATCTTTCAATTCTTTCCAATTTATGGTTTAATTTTCAGCTTTCCATCGTCCATGCAGAAAAAGAATTTTCATTAAGTAGTTTGTAAGCACATACGTTTACGCTTTCATGCTTATGATAGATCACACACTTGGTATTTCAATTCTTTGTTGCCAACATTAAAGGAAATGAACTTTCTTTGTTGTGGCGTAAGAGAAATATATACAGGGTATCCGCGCACCTGGAAAGTCATGCATTTCGGTATTGAACAAAATTTGTCATGAAATGTCATGATTTTTACTATTTTTTTAAGAAAATCATGGAAAGTCCTGGATTTAGGTCTCTGAAAAATTTAATTTTTAAAATAGAATCTCCCTCCCCCCCAATTTCATCCTGTTCCAAATATCTGAATTTTTAACAAAATCACCACTCAGTCATATTTTATTTGAATATAAAATGATTTTATCATGTTCTTTAAAAATTTTGGTGTCATTTCAAAAAATGAAAGAAAAAATATCATTCCTAGAGCGAATTATCCTTTAAACTCTCTTCTGTGATTTAAGAATTCTTATTTTTATTTTTTTTTAAAATTTTATCAATTTAAAATTTGAAGCAAACCAGTTATTGGCAAATTTTTTTTATTCCGAAATGAACAGAAAAATCAGGAGTATTTCTTTCCTTTCTGATGAACAAGAAAAGTATCTTTAGAATATAATATTTAGAATATTAGAATAGAATATATTAGAAGAATTTAGAATATTTGTATTTTTTCCAGCTATTTTATTGTTTCAACTCTTTCCTTACTCTGTTTTTTAAGTTTAAAATCTATAAATATGAAGATGAAGAGTATAATAGTTTTGGTTATGCCTATTTCGAATAATGTTATTATTATGCTTTTTTTAATTTTTTGTTGCGTTTTTGTTGGAGAAAATAGCAACTTCGTTAAGTCATGAAAAATTCTTGGAATTAGTCATGGAAAATCATGAAAAGTCATGAATATGAAAATCTAAAATTTAGCAGATACCTTGTATATAGGATCTTCTGAAATCTTGAAGTTTGCACCCGAAGAACCGGTGACTAATTATACAAAGTGTTTAAGTCTTCTTATTTGTTATACTTGATTTGTGCTTTTTAAGAATTTACAGTATTCTTTGAGTTTAATGAAAAAAATAATGAAACACTATTTTCTTAAACATAATATTTAAAAAAAATGTGATTTGAGGTGTCCACTCATCTAATACTCAGTAGAGTAGCAAATTCTAAGATAAATAATTTAAAAAAATGTTATTAACTTTATTTTTATAATTTTATTTTAATTCAATGGAAATTAACAATTCAATAATATAAAATTAAGTGGTGGATTGAAAAACCATTAACATTTTACTTTCGACAATCGTTTTAAGGCTATTTTCTCCCAAAATTCATCGAAACTCTGATTACTTAATTATTTGATAATTTTTAATATCAGATTAAATTTGATAACTCCATACATGAGATGGTTGAACAGAAAGCTAGGTGTTGGAATGACCTGTTTTCTTCCTAAATGAAAACTTTTTGAAGTAAAATGTAAGCTTTCTCTCAAATCAGAAATATTTTATGGATGAACATCAATAATAATTTTTATTAAGCAAATAATTTTGATCATTTGTTAATGAATATATTTGAAAATATATTTCATTATGATTTTATTTTAAAAAATATTTTTATTAAAAAAATAAGCAATGAAAATTTTAGGAAAAAATTTCTTTCTCTGTTATAATAAAATGAAAGATTTCAGGGAGGGGGAACTTGAATCTCTATAACCCATCCCTTGGGTATGGCCCTGCCCTGAACTATAATTTTTTTTTTTAATTTTGTTCTGAGGAAAGTAGTCTGTCATTCAGGCCTGATTTAAATAATTGTCTTATTTTAGTAAATATTTCTATTTTGCAGTTTTATTCATCAATGGAGTTATGTAACTACAGCTGATGATTCCATTCAGTTTCAAAATTTTTTTAGTTAAAGCTAGTTCCACTTACATCCGAAAAAAACAATAAATTATGAGCAGTTCACATGTATTTTTTAAATTTTTTTTTTATGAATTCTTAAAAATACTTGTAAATTAATGATTTTAATTGATTGATTGGCACTAAAGTAGCATAAAATTGTAAGAAGTAGCAAATTAAAGTAATAAATTATGATATTAAAAAGGTAAAAAAAAGTGTACACTCATTTTTAAATAATTTTTTTTATGAATTCTTTTATATCTCACATGAAATTTATGATGACATGAAAATTTAGTTCTCCAATAAGACCAGTTAGTATTTATTCAGTGGTCCAAAAACTTGATATGATAGACAAATTTGAGAAGAAAAAAAATCTGAACTTCACAATTACAAAATTTATGTGTTGGTACACTTCAAAAGTTACTGATAGATGTCTATAACATTCTGAAACCGATTATGTTTGTTATCCCATAATGATTGAAGATTTATATTTATTAAAATTAACTGAAGGTAAGGTAAAATAATATTACTGAAGATATTAAACATAGAGATTAAAATGCTGAAACCAAGTTAATGAGGAAAACATAAGAAGTAAGAATTAATAAAATATATTAAAAATTAATTATCTAAAAATTATAAAATTTTGAATAAAATCAATTCTAAAAAAGCACATCTTTTATTGATGAATGATTGTACTGTCAGTACATGAATACAGAGAACAGCATAGCCTAGCATGCAGGGTTTGAAAAAACCCAACCCGCCCGGGTTTTATTGAAAAAACCCGGGGAAAATTGGGTTTTTCCATTTAGTTCTCATAAACTACTTACTGTGAAAATATTTCTATTTATTAAAAAGTGTAGCATAAGCTTAAAAATATAAATAAATCTAAGAAGTTTACATAAAATATATATAATAAAATTAAAATAAGTTTAAAGAATGCACTATCACTAATGCATGTTTGAGTCTTTATTCTTAAATACATAAGGTTTTACAATTTTTAACTAAAGCACTATAAATTGTAAATGTAACAATAATATAGAAGGAACAAGTTTATTAATCTTTTTGTTTTCGTTTGTTGTTTATGTATATATATATTACTTATAACAAATTTATAATCAATAAAAACAAAAATAATTTCATCTGACTTTAACCTTTTATAAAATTAGACTTAAATAAATATTTAATGGTCTTTCATGTTTTTATGAAACATTAATAGAAAGTGGAATTAAAATTACGTATAATTATAAAGAGTATCAGTTACTTGTCCCATTTTTCAAATTTTTAACCTTAGAAAAAAGACTGCATTTTTAGATAAATTTTAACTTTATAATTTCAAAAAACAAATTAATCTTAAAATTATAAAAAAGCATACATAAAAAGTTTTAGCTTAATTTTTTAAAACCAGAAAATGTTTTTTTATTTGTTTTCAATATTTTTAAACAAGATTAAAAGAAATAAAATAAATTATATTCAAATAAAATCTTAAAAATATTAAAAAAATCTTAAAAGTAATATTTTAATTTTTAACTGTTTTTTAATTGTGATAAACTTTCTCCAAATAGTTAAAAATTGTCAGCAGATGTTAAGAGTTAACTTAAAAAAAAAGGTCCATTTTTTCCTTTATTATTATTATCATACAACAGATTCAAAGTGTCTACATTTCTCTCTTAGATGGCAATACACTTTTACGAGTTTTGTAGCTTTATCTATTCCTAATCTATTTCGAAGTTTACTCTGCACCAAACCGAAAGTTGAAAAGTGTCTTTCGATAGAGACAGAGGATGCTGGTGCTGAGTGCAAAGAAAAAAGAATTGACAGAAATTTTGTGGAAGCTAGGAATTTTATTTATTTACTTATTTATTTATTTTTTTTGCCATAATTTTCCACTATTTTTTGATGAAAACTGTTCAATAACAGTGTCAAGCATCATTGATTTTGGAAAGTATTCAGGATCGGAAATTTTGGATGCCATAACACGTGGCAGAAATTCTGGATGATGCTTAGAAAGACAGCTTTCTGCTAATTGGTCTTGTTCATCATTTAAAAATTGTCCCCTTGTTTCGGGATCCAGGATGCATATGCTAATAAATGATGTGGCTGAACAGCCTGATTGAATCTTTTTACAAAATGTTTATGGGGTTCTAATTCATCACACGATAGTAAGTTAATTCATATTTCAACAGCTTCTGAAATTGAAATGTTTTCTGATTGAAGCTTTTTTAAAGCTTAAGAAACAATTGATATCTGTTTTTCCCAATTGATAGTTTATTGGTAAAGCCCAACATTATTTAATTTTTTTGACATATAAAATTGTTCAAGAACAATCTCTTCATATTTATGGTAATTATTGGCAAAAGTTTTTACGCGCTCACAATATGAATTCCACCTAGTATCATTTGGCCTAGTATCATCTAGCAGTTTTTTTCATTTGGCCATCCATGTGCTTGATGCACATTTCTAAAATATATGTTAACTTTCACGATGTGCCCAATGATAGATAGTATTATGAAATACTTCTTTTTCAACCAAATTTTAAAATATATA